TGGACACATGGCACATGTAGACACTTATAACTCACACTTACGTTGTCTTAGCATTATGCTTACACTAATAAAGGACAGGAGCTGAGCAGTTCAACCCTCGCAATTTGAAGTTATGTATTCTTTCTTTTTTAAGTATTTTAGTCTTTGTGGTTCCATAATTATAAAATTACTCAACTAAAAAGTGATTTTTGTGATGAAGCTGTTTAATAATGCTGATGGCAGAATTGCAGGAAATTGCATCTTAAGAGGTGTAATTTTAAGAAAAATTTCCCCGGATCCCCCTAATCTAGACGGGGGAGGGGGCCTCCCAAACACAACACCTCTAAGCAGCTGCACTGCTTGCGGCAGCAGACAGCCGCCTACTTTGCTAGTTTAGCCTGCTACTTTAAAAAGCGCTGTGACAAGGCCTGCTAGCATATCTCTACCTGTATTGTGCCCCTCGCTCTGATACGGTCTATGATGACCCACATTGACAGTTTATTTGCCAAACAAGTAACGGTACCGTCATGAATATGCAAATACTGACACAGTATACAGTAAGTAACCGTAAACACCAACCATTGTTTGCTGTCAACACTAACAGGGTGCATCAGTAAATGTAAATCAGTAACTATTAGATGCAGAGAGCGAATTAAATTGTTGTTGTTGTTGTCATCGTTAACTGTACTGTAATAATACTGCTCAGGTATAACAGTAACTGAGTAAGACTTACAGTAAACATACCAACAACTGCAGCCGTATTGACCTGACACATCACAGTGTAGGACCACAGCGCACTTGGAGCGTTTCAATAAAATATAATGCTAAAGATACGAAATCTATTTACTACCAAAGTCTTAATGTTTCTCTACTTTTTTTTACCTATTATTGCCGATAATTTCCTGTAATGCGTCCAAATGCTCATCTGCAACAAACGCTGGCTGCCGCTGCACACTGACACATAAATATATAGTGTCTATTAATACATAGTCTATACATGTATAGTAACATCTATATTTAGGTTATGTGGTGACACCAGCCTCCGGCCGTTGCCAGTATCCAACCATGCCAGATTCCCAAAACGCTGACTACTATCGCCGTTGTTGCCAGATGAGCTGTTGGACGGCATTTGCAGGAATCGTCAGGCATATATAGCTGTGAAGAGAGTAAGGGAAACATTAAGACTTTGGTAGTAAATAGATTTCGTATTTATTTAGCATTATATTTTATTGAAATGCTCCAAGTGCCTGTGGCTGTGGCTCCAAGTGCATGTGTGTGGGACAGTGCCAGTGCCGCTGAGAGGGTCTATGTCCCCCAGGGTACTGCCGGAACGTACCTGGTACGGTCCGGTATACCCTAATGTACCCTGGTACCAGAGCATATATTATAAATCAACGTTGATTTATATGCTCTACTGGTACTATCTAATATGCCGGACCGTACCTCGCCTACTCCACTTGCACTTAAGGATACTCTCAAGGTTTTAGGAAAATTTTTACCGATTTTTCATTTTCAACTTTATACGATGGCTAACACTATGTGCCACCTGTGTACATGCTCATTTCTTCTTCTTCATATAACGGTACATGTGAAGTGTCAGAGCGTTTTGCTTGCCCGCGTGCATGTGTAGTGAGCCGTGGCTGACGCCAGAAAAACGCTGATTTCTTCGTTCCAATTTCTGACTTGAAAGTCGATGTATAAATGGATATTTCTCTGTGATTACAACTCGGAATAATTTACTTTTACACTCGTTTTAATGGTAACATATTGCTGTAAAAAAAGCGCGTCAGGGATTGTTATTAAGTGCCGTATTTTATGAGTTATGTCTCTTTATTCGCAAAGATTTTTAATTCAAACGTGCGACTTGAATTTTAGGCAGTTTTTTGAATTTTTCTCGGTAAATATGAAACTTAAAGAAAAACCCTGAAGCGCTATTTTGGTACATATTGTGCTTAACATGTGGTGAAAATTTTGTATCTTCACTCTTTCTGGTAATTGAGAAATATCCAAAATACCATTTTTACATAAAAATTCAAAATTTTTGTGGTAACATAATTAGGTGCTGGAAATTTCATGAAATTTTTTGCCTTGAGCATAGAGATATATCTCCTCTATAAAAAAAACAAGTGATTGATTCAATTCATTTGCCAATAAACGTTTAATCTTCACTAGAGCAATACCCGTGCGCAACATGGAGAGTATCCTTAACTCGAGTTAGCGATTATGTAGCGTCTACACGACAACACCCGATAGCGATTATTACCGATTTATTATGCATGTGTGCGTGCGTGTGTATGTAAACGTTTAATTTTTATTAGAGCAATGCCCGTGCAAAAGGTTGAGAGTATCCTTAAACCGGAAAGGGGCAAGACTGCTGGCTGAGAACTTCATTAGGATCCACCAGGAAAACTAGAAAGACAGGGCCACAAGGATACAAATAATCTTAATGAACTTAAAGTAGGATGGCTAAATGTAAATTGCCTAAAGTCAAAAAATATATTCCAGGACACCATCGACTGGATGATACAAGAAGGCCTAGGGGTACTGGCGGTGGGTGAAACATTCTTCAGGGATGAA